CGCCCAAGGTTAGTAGTTCGAACCCGCAAGTAAAAACTTTTGAACGGGTGACTCGTCCCCCGAGGTCGGAGTGTGATGCACTAGGAAGAGGTAAGAGCACGCAAGAACTCGTATGAAGTCAAGAGTGTGAGGTATTAGCATTTACATTGGAGCTTATTAATCGTCACACCCATATGACGTGACCCGGTGGCGCGAGTGTGTGTGCTCGGCCAATGTACGAGTGTGTGTGCTCGCCCGGCGTACTTGAGTGATTAGATTTCATAAGTCCGTTGGTCAATGTTAAAATTACACACGCTTGACAAGAGTGAAAGCATTTATATCACTTAAAGTACTCTTGGAATGATTCAATTTGTGATTTTTTTATTGAATCATTTTATAATGTTTTGATCGATGATGATGTAAAATTGAGCAGTATACTTAGCTTTTCTGTTGTTTGGAAGAATGGAAGCTTGGTCCATACGAAAAACCAGTTCAAATGGGTTTGGCCCTTAAGTACTCCAGGCCCGAAAATCAACCTAGCAAAGTTTGTGGTGTTGAACAGCTTGCCTAACACCTTGTGCTAAGCTTCTGGCAGACCGCAGACGGAGACTTCCAGGAGGGAGGTCCTTTGGCCGTCACAGAGGCAGAGAACAGCCGCCGTCGCAGTAGAAAGGAAGCCGGCTACCGCCACTGCCATCGGATGGGTCGTCTGCCATGGGAAGCTCCGCCCGGCCTGTGCCATTGACTGGAGTGCCCGATCGGAGGGCGGCCGTTAGTGCGGCCTAGAGGACTCGCGTCGCCCGGAGCACCATCAGATTTACATCAGCGGCCCAAGAGTTTTGTCGCCAAGCTACACCACCGGATCTGGGGATTCAGCTGCCGACCTCAGGGCACCGTCCGCCTAAGGGAACTCCCGGCTTGGATTCGCCGGCCTGAGAGGGTGCCAGACTTAGGTTAATTCATCTGGTCAGTACAACTCTAGGCGTGCGGACGAACAGGGCTGAGATGGAGATGTAGGTGGCCTACGAACGATGCCTAGAAGCTTCTGATCTTGAGCGTCGGTGTCGGGTTTGAGGTTCTCTCCTTGCCAGCGGCCATTAATGGTGGATATCCAAGCTCAGTTTCCCAAGGCGAACAAATCAGAAGATATCGCCAGAAACTTTACTTGTGTGGCCAATTGCCGAACTAAGGTCCCTATGCTTCCGTATTAGATTGTTGCTAGCTTTTTCCATATCTGAAAAAGTTCATATCTAGATTCATATTCTGGGTTACAGATATGAAATTCTGAAAAACTCATGGAAACCTTCAAACATTCCCATTTTTCTGAATTTTTTTTGGTAATTCCTACTAGAGTGATGTGAGAGATAACAGAAGCTCTCAATGAAAGCACCAATGTTGGTAGAAAATAACCCGGGTAGAGAATTCGGCAGCATTTCAGTATAGTGAGAATAGCTTAGCAGAATACAAGGGGTTGGTGGCCTATTTATAGGCATACACAATAGCCCACCAATTCAGTGTTACATGGACTTGGCCCGATTTATCAACTAACATTGACGCTAATGGGCCAGCCAGCCCGATATGTAAATAAATAATCTCGGACCAATATCCGCTAGCCGGGCTGTGTTCTGAGCTTGGTCGGGCCAAAGCTTGGGCGTAACGGGCCAATAGTCTTAGACCTGGCCCATTATCCCAACAATGAACATAAATAACAAAGAAAACATATAGAAAGCTTAGAAGGAATGAAAATATGGGGGGATAAAGGATAGGTTAACTCAATGCATTTATTCCTAATATTTGTTGATACTCAGTTTATTTATTTATTTATTTATTTAAAAAGAGATGAAAATTATATGTATGTAAAAATTATATTGAAAGCCTAAGGATATTTTTTTGAACTAAAACCAAACACCGAAAATAACTTGACTACTTTTTTGTTTTCTTTTTTTCCCTGAGCATTTTTCAAGACTCGATCATAGCCCAAATAGCCAATGAAAATGGTTTCATTCAGAATTCTGAGATTAACAGTAGCGGGTCGGGCCCAAAAACGAGCCTGACGCCCGCCCTTATAGCCACCGGGCCTGCACAATGCCTGGTCGGGCCGACCCAGTTCCAGTCTATCCCTAGTCGCAGCAGCTCAAGCAATCACAAAAACTTCATCAATAGCAAAAAGGGCGAAGCCCATCCCAAGAAATCAGAAATGGTAACAAGTTAACTAGTTTTACATCAAAATTTATGCATTCTATACTAAAAGTTATAAGTTCTGCACTAAAACCTACAAATTTTATTGGAAAAATTATAACTTGTGTTTTTCTTTTTACTAATAGATTATTAAGTTTTCTAATAATACTAGTTATTATTTAGACAAAAAAGCTCACTAATAAGGTCGATGGATTGTAAATATAACCTACAATAACTAACTTGGATGATATTACTAATAAATTTGAATAGTTTTTGGAAAATATTACACATAAAACATTATAAAGAACTGATATGCTCCTCTTACGAGTCTTGGCATATTTTAGCACATTATAGCAATATGTTACTTGGGCAAGGGTTATTGTGAGGCTTGCTACTTGAGCAAGGGTTATTGTGAGCGCCTCACACTGTGTAGGATTCACCTTATTTTAAAATACACTCAACTCACATAAGATAACAATTAAGTGGATAAATATGTACTAATTAATCGAAGACATCTTCACTATCAACCTATTTTTGTTATATAGAAAACAACTTTCCAAAAAAACCAAGATACCATTTGAAAATAATTAATTAATTAAATACAAAGTGAAAATAAATATTAGTAGAAATCTTACTAATTTAAAATCGCCGATTGTGCCTATGTAGCAAATGCAAATCTCACTAGACCATCTGTAGCTCGTGTTTGCGTGGAAATTGATGTTACTAAAGAATTACCACAAAAAATATGGTTGCAAAATGGAGACATAGGCTTTTCTCAATCTGTGTCATATGAACACATGCCCAAATATTGTCGGGAATGTTTTAAAATAGGGCATGCCTCATGTGAAATACAAACATAAGTGATACAGGCTACAGAAAACAACCAGCAACCAGTGATGGAGGTGACAAAGTGTGGATAAAAAAAGCACAAAGAACCATCTAAAAATATGCAGCAAGATGAAAAAGCAGAGACTTCTAAGAAGGTTCAAGTGGAGACCCTAAATCCAAAAATTCAGGAAATTCCAAAAACCAATGAGCAGAACACTCAGGCAACTCAAAAATTTGATCCTCCACAAAATGAAGCCCTGAAATTAGCTTCAGAAGTCAGATCATTAGTGGATAAAATCCCTCATTCTGTGAACTTACTAAAACTCAAGAACAGGTATGATTCTATAAAGCATATTGAGAGTAAAAAATTGTGATATTGGAAGATGGTAACACTTCATGACTTCAAAGGGGGATAATCCTGAAGATATATACCTCTAATCATTCCAAAGAAGAGCGGACAGAAATCTTACATCCAACAATTCAAAAAGTTGCAGCGGCCATAGTGCAAAACAAAGATACGGATAATGAAGGAAAACAGCAAGGAAAATTGCAGACTATTCAAACTACCAGGGAAAAACGAACTAAAAGAGATTATCACTTGAATCTTCCTCCAATTTTACAGAATCTCAGAGTAAAAAGGTTTAATCTTACCTGGTAACAGTTTTATTGGTAGCAGTCATGAGCTGAGTTCCGACGTAGAAGAGTTCCGGAACCGTCCACAAGAAATTGATTCTACACAGGATTTTGGTAAGCAGATTCCTATTCTAGTCGAATTTCTTATGCTGTTAGAAGGGAAGAAAATTGAAGTGAAGAAAATTGAAGTGAAGTCGATTTCTGAAGGAAAAAACGAGTAAAGGACAAGGGGAAAGGGCGTACAAGATTTTTGTATTGTGTGAGGTTTATTATGCAATTTTTTAAAATGCTAAACAAAATTGCTTATGTGGACTATCTTCCAATTATATTAAGCCACATGTAGAATGTACCAAAACATTCAATAACAGGAACGCACCGGAGAGCTACCCAAAAAACTTTTCCTTGTTTCATACACCACTTCAAACCTTCCACGAGTTATTTCCGTTTCATTCGTTATTTCATACGGAGTACTACCTCCTTAAATGTAACTATCATATTTTTATTCTTGAATATGAGTCATGTTTACAGTCATGTTTTGACAGTATTTTCTAAACATGGCCGTTATTACTCTTATTTAGGAATAAAAATATGACAGTCTATTTTTAGAATTCTCAAACACTTTTACACATATTTCGGGAATTGTCCCAAAGTAGAAACAAAGTAAACTAGGAAGTTAACTTTGGCAGCTTAAATAGGATAGATGGAAGTTAATTTGGGAAAGGAAAGCATATTGTTGAAAAGTTATATTGGGAATCCGCACTAGTAGCTCAACGATAGTTGAATGAGGTTGTTTGATTGAGGACTCATGTTCAATTTCTGACAGCGACAATGTAGGAGTTTCATTTAATGTGGTGGCTCCTTGTACGCATTAGACCCTTAACCACCTCACTCAAGAACCGTTTGAAATCGTATCGTGACTTACCCCCACCATGGTCGGATGTGGGGACGCTTGGGGTGCGCGATTTCACCTTTTGGATTGAAAAGTTATACTTCCTCCGTTCTCTTTTAATTGTAACAGTCAACATTTCATGTTTGCCAACGTACACATTTGACCATTAATATCTTTCATTCTCTATTAGTAAAAATTTAAAAAATTCATATTTTGAAAATTTAGAATGAGAAGAACTTAACAATATTTTTTAAAAATTTAATTTATAATACATTAATAAATAAAATATAATCAAAGTAGAATATGTGAATAGTGCAAAAAGTCCAATGTTACAATTAAAAGAGAAAAAAACAGGAGCTTGTTTGCTTTTATCAAGACTGCTTTGACTATAAAAAACATTTGGTGGGCGACCAGTTGGTATGTTGCTGTCAATTCCATGCCCGCCACACTATATAATATGGTCGAGATGAGATGAGATGAGACAAAAATCTATATTTGCTCCTACCATCCATCTTAGCGTAGCTTATTATAATTAGCTTTCATATATATACCAAGTATATAGTTTCGATCTCCATTCTCCATCATCTATCTATCTATCACCATTGGGATCGGAGGTCGATCGATCCGTACTTATTAGCTTCCAAATAATTATTGAAAAATGGCGAGACCAATTGGATTTTGCAACTATATTTATGTTCCGATGTTTATACTATCCTCGGCCGTCGGCAGCCTCGTGGCAGCAGCCGCCGGTTTGATAGGCAAAACTTGTTCCAACAACCTTATAAACCTCAGAGGCTATTTTATCGGATGCGCAGTTGCAATTTTTGTGATTGGCTGCCTACCCTACTTCTTAATAACAAAAACAAGCTGTTGTGGTATGGACAAAGGGAGAGGTGCAGATAATATCGCCCTCCGCCTGCTGTTGGGGCTGCTGTTACTGGCCATGATTGCTGTCCTCATAATCCTGGCGGTTAAGCTGCCCCGGAGAGCTGGGGCAGCTGGATTCCCCGACCAGGATAGCGCCGCCGCTCACAAAGAATACAGTCTGGATCAGTTCCCCACCTGGCTTCGTAACACGGTACTTAGCAAGTGGGACGATTCCGTCCCAAATTGTCTCGCTCGTTCCGTTCCCTGCAGTGCCTTGGATACCCCCTATTACTCCTCCTTCCAAATACTGTCAACTGCGCCCCTCACACCTTTACAGGTACTGTGATTTCCACCGTCAAAATTTCACCACCATATACATACATACATACACACACACACATATAAGTTCACCTTACAACTTCCTCACAGGAACAGCCGTCCAGCCCCCACCGTTTGAGTGGTTCCCGGCAGATTTTTATGATGATATCTTGTGAGCACGTTATTCATGAATTATAGATGATGTGCCCAGAATGTCAACTAAAAATTCAATTGGGAAGACAATTAAATAAAATTATTGAAAAACATTGTGTTTTTTATACTTATTTAAAATTATATGCACGAGCAGCATGTAATTTAGCTAATTTAAAATTTGATTTATTTCGTATCATATGTAATGTGATTTAAAAGAAAAATAAATTTAATCTAATAGAGATCCTATTAGATAATATACTAAAATAAATCGAATTAACTTATTTTACTGAAATTGATTAAATTCTTGCTGAATGAGCTAAATAGGTGGAACTCCTGAATCATGAATAAAAATATGTAAAATATATTTCATTTGTGAAGCCAAGAAAAAATTATATGAAAAATAGTTAAATTGACCTTTATAGATGCATGAACATATCCACCTGTGCACTTTTTATAGATGCATGAACATTTGTGATGTGTATCATTCCTTCCTTTATTTTGGGACGTAATGTATGAACATATCCACTTTTTATAGATGCATGAACATAATCACCCTTCAATCATGAAAAATATAATTATATTTTTGTGTAAAATAATTAAATGCATTAAAAATTCGAAATTAAAAAAAAAGTATACCTCATCATCGATCAGAACCATGTCTAGACAAATTAAGCTTCCTTGCCTTTTGTGATTGATGACATCACAAAGGCATGTAACACGAACTTTGATTGTCTAGTCGGACTTGGATATATCAAGCTGACGTATTAGAGAATAACTTCTGCATTTTATGGAATATTGATCAATCAGGTATAATGAATCATACTGTCATGTATCATATGTACATAGTATTCAATAATATATCATTAAAAATGCTGTAGAAACTTACTGTGATGACATTCTTGATATAAGAACACTGAACAATAGAATTCTTCAAACTAAGGAGAAAGTCAATAGTGAAAATACACTTTTGTTTACATTCTCTTTGTATTTATAATAGCCTACATATGCGTTATAGGTAGTTTTTATGTTTCTAATTCTAATTTTAGAAACATAAAATATACTAAAAGTTTACTCCAAAGTTACATAGCTTTAAATTTAGAAACATAATAAACGTGTTATAGATAAATTACTATAAGAAATATACTAAAAGTTTATAAGAAACATAATAAAAGTGCCCAATAAAATATACTAAAAGTTTATAAGAAACATAATAAGAAGCATAAAATATACGTACTAAGGATGTTTTTACTTGGACTGTAATTTGTCCCAGACCAGACCAGACCAGTCCAGACCAGACCAGACCAGACCAGACCAGACCAGACCAGACCAGACCAGACTTGGATAGTTATAAAAATACAAAGAAACCAGACCTTACCAGACCAGACCAGCAAATTACAGTCCAAGTAAAAACATCCTAAAAGTTTATAAGAAACATAATAAGAAACATAAAATATAGTATAAGTTTACTCCAAAGATTACGTAGCTTTAAATTTAGAAACATAATAAAAGTGTTATAGATAAAAGTTTAAAATTAACTAAAGTTACGTAGCTTTAAATTTAGAAACATAAAAACTAAGAATAAGATGGTATACAAAATCAGATTATGAGATTCAGATTTTAAATTAACTAAAGTTACGTATCTTTAAATTTAACTAAAGTTACGTAGCTTTAAAATCAGATTTTATAAGAATAAAAGTTACCAAATAAGATGCATGGTATACAAAATAATAAAAGATATAAAAAGTAATTAAATAATAATTATATATGATGACATGGCAAGATTATGTGGCACTCCGTATGCTCTTAAAAAGTTCCTCTTATATATATATTGATTTTGGCGCTGTCTTTTCCAATAATTTATTAAACCAACTTCCCGATTGAATTTTAAGTTAAAGTTTTGTGGAGATGATCTTGAATCCATGGATAACATGGTCACAAATTTTGATTAAAAAAACTCCACCCGGAACCACTACCTCAAATATATGGAGGCGTCCGGACATAGGTTCCAGTCACGAAGTTCTGACCAGTATATTACTCTCTCTCTATGTGTATATATATATATATAACTATATGTATGTATATATATGGATATATGCATGTATATAAACCGTCTTTATTACTACCTCTATCCTGAATGAAGATTCTCATTGAAAAAAGACACGATCATTTAGATAACAATTAAATAAGGTAATTCCAGTATATTTTGAGAATTAGTTTGATGAGTATATAATTTGAAAAAGTTAGTTATTGATTATAACTCTGATATTATAAGTGTATTGCTTTTAATATTTGACTATTAAGTTATCATTTAAAAGTGTTAATTTATTTCCTAAAATAGAAAATATAAACCTTTAAATGGGACGTCCAAGAAAGGAAACTGAGAACATTTACCTCTATCAGAAGGAATGCTTAATAATTATATTATGTTGTTCATATGTGGTTTAGGTTGGATGGAGTTTAAGAAAGAAGTCATATTACTCACTAGAAGATTAGAACATATAAGATCTTCAATTCATTCAATTGTATTAAGTTATCGATCAAATGAAGTACTTTAATTTTCCTGGACATCTTATTGTTTGACGGCGGTCTCTTGGCAGTTTGGATGTTGCATGCCACCACAAAGTTGTAACTTCACTTTTGTGCGCCCAACATATTGGATAAGCAATCAAACATCATCTCTAAGCGGCGACTGTTCAAGATGGAACAACGATCCAGACAAACTTTGCTTTAATTGTGATTCTTGCAAAGCAGGAGTAATAGCTCATAACTCAAAAAGTTTGAAAATAGTAAACAATCTTGTATTAGGTGCCATTGTGATGTGTGCTGTTTATTTCATTTACTTTTTTTGTTTATGCTCGATTATTTGTAAATTAGAAGGGTAGCAGAATAAGAATGAGAAAATTATCCCTCGTGTTATTAAAACTACATGTCTTTCCCATTCTATGACTATACTAGTTATTATTCCTATAATAACATCTTAATAATGTGCATGATTTTTATATTTTTTCTTCTTTCCAACCGCTACCCTCTATATTAAATATAGGAAATACTTAATTCTCCCTATTTATGCGGAATTGAAATAGAAAAACGGTGCATGCAATTGGGTGTCTTAATTACTATTCCTAAAAATTAGGAATTAGTTCATATGTTCCGTTATGGTGAGGTTTACGCATGCACCCATACGAATTAAACATGCCTAAAAAATAGGGGTGATCCCATTTATGTTAGTCACATCATTATTTTATTTTACTTTTTTATTTTTTTTCAATTATGCCGAGTATAATGCTTATACTGCCCAAAGTATTCCTTGAACACCTTGACTTAATGTCAATTTTAGAATTTCTTGCGTTCACACTTCACATATTTACTGCCTATACCTTATCTGTAATGCCCAAATTTCTTTCTAACATAATTTATTGCCCTCGTTAAAAAAACATAATTTATTGCCCTCCCACACCTTTTTAAGAGCATCACCAATGCACTTCTTTTGACATAATCAAAATTTTGCCAAATGTCAATTATATAAAATAATGTCTATCCACGTAAATTACACATTCAAAGAAATAAATAAAGGTTCTCCAATGCATAGAATTATACGGAACATAAAAAGTATAAACATGGCAGTTATTAATTCCACTAGGCATTTATCAACCTTTTTCATTAACCGTAGGCTATTATATCGGGATTTTAAGCTATGTGATGTGTATTGATATCCATCGTTGAGCTACTAGTGCAGGTTCCCAATATAACTTTTCAACAATATGCTTTCCTTCCCCAAATTAACTTACATCTATCCTTTTTAAGCTGCCAAAGTTAACTTCCTAGTTTACTTTGTTTCTACTTTGGGACAATTCCCAAAATATGAGTAAAAGTGTTTATTTGAGAATTCTAAAAAATGACTATCATATTTTTATTCCTAAATAGGAGTAATAACGGTCATGTTTAGAAAATATATATTTTCAAAACATGACTATAATTACTCATATTCAAGAAATAAAAATATGATAGTTACATTTAGGAAGGAGGTAGTAGTACTCCGTATGAAATAACGAATGAAACGGAAATAACTCGTGGAAGGTTTGAAGTCGTGTTTGAAACAAGAGTTTTTTATGGTCCTATTTTAAGATGTTTTTCATGTTCCGACGCCGTGATTCTTTTTTGCTCATTAGGTTTGTCTTTTTCCTTTTTTTATTTGTCTTTTTCCTTTTTTTTCGTTGCTTTTCCGAATGTTTTACGGAGTATTTTCTTCTTTTGTCTTTTGTCTTTTCTTTTTTTCGTTGCTTTAATTTATTATGTCCTTTCTTTTTCTTTATTTTTTACCTTGATGATGAAGACCTATCTCCCATTGCTATGGTTTCCTCTGCACATACGTCTGCATAATAGGTTGGGGATAATGAAGTAGGGTTTGGGGATATAATTCTTGGGGGTCTTTTTATGCGCAGTGTTAGTCAAGGGGAAGGGGGAAACAGATGTTTAACGGGCCAGTTAGAGGGTGGTTAATAGTTAAGGTAAAGGTTTTATTTTGTGTTTTTTTGGTCCATCATAAACCTCAGTGTCATATACGAGATTCAATAAAAACCTTGGTGTCAATTTTGGTCCTTTTCCCTATGATTTCAAACGGTTCTTGAGTGAGGTGGTTAAAGGTCTGATGCGTACAAGGAGCCACCACATTAAATGAAACTTCCACCTCAAAAGTGGTACTCGGGTAAGATTTTTGAGAAAAATGAAAAAAGGAATGATGACAAAGTCCAGTAAGATGGAGGAATTATAAATATTTTATTTAGGAAATTCAAATTTGTTGAAATTAAATCATAGCATATATGATAGTTCTATTGTATAAATCATGTAATAAATAATTCCATATAGCTAAATCAACACTTAGGAAATGTTAGACCATAAATTGATAGTTTTTCATCATTCGCGTCTTATACTGATACTATATATTTCATATTTCAGGTTGATAATTTATGTATCTTTGGGGCCCCGGATTGATCAATTCCGTTAAAGTATTTGTGCAATTTTATTCTAAGCTATCACTCCGGGTCAATAGTGTGCATGGTAAAAAATATGAACCTCAATTGCACAAATAAATAGATTTTTTTTAATATGAAACATTAGTATCATATGAAAGATAATAAAAAGTTATGAATTTTGATATATTTTTTGTAGTAATCGGAGTACACATAAAAAATTATTGGAGTAGCACTTTGAAAGGGAATAAATCCCACTTCTGACTTTACGAGTATCACACTAATTTCACAATTAGTACATGTTTTTTACTTTGGCCACTTTTGTTACATGACTATTGTGTTTTTGCCCATATATGATCATTCTGTCAATGTTTCTGGTGGTTAAATTAAAATTTCCGGAAAAAGACCACACAAATGGTCAAGAAAATTTAGTACCAAAAGTGACAAACTAAAAGATGTGGACTAAATATGTAATTGAGATAAAACTCATACATCAAAAATTGAAATGAAATCTTTTAAAAAATACATGTTTTTAAAAGTGCTAGATATTTTTTTTATATATATTCAATATTGATGTCATATGAACAAAAATAAAAAGTTATGAATCTTGATATAGATTTTGTAACAATGAGAGTGTGAAATAAAAAGTTATAACACTTTAAAACAAAAATGAAATTTTATTTTTGCGGGCTCCCGACTGAGTTCCTCCTTTTTGGCCTGCGTTGTTGCGTCGTTTTTTTCCCTAAGCCGCCAACTGAAGTTACTATTTTCTTAAGTGGGTTTACCACAAGAATATTTTGGGAATATTTTGGGAAATACTTTTAACCTGATTCTAATTTGATTTTGTTAGCATCACTTTGGGAAAGAATTAATTCACCAAGTTTGAACTCAAAATAAGTTTAAAAGAACAGTCACTCTTATATGTTTTTATTTCATTTATAAAAATTAATTTACTAATTAATTATTGGGAAAATGTAACTTTATTTAATTTATAGAACCATGTTTTCTTTTATACATGACATTAGAATTTGTAGAAGAATCTAAATGTCCATTTAGTCACTTATGTTTTGGGCTTATCAACCTTAGCAGCCCAATTTTCATCAAACATGTAACGTTTGATTTCAGCGAATCAGCCGATTGGACTAATTTTGGTGCTATTATACATACTCTAAATAGGAACAACATTTCACAATTTTACGCTATTAAAAAATAAGACACTTTAATTTTGGAGGCGGAAATTATACCTAACAAAAATATTGGTCAAAAGGTTTTAATTTCAACGTTATCATTCGTCTAAATGGATATCCTAATTCCTTTCAAATTTGAATGCATTCGATTCCAAACCATCATTTCATTTTTCACAATAATAAAGATAAACCAATTATAATATCTGCATTAAGCAACATATATCTACTAATATTTGTTTTTAAACATAGTCAATTCTACACTACCATGCCAAATGTTATTTTAAGGAGCCAAGTGTATGTTGTCATGCATGATAAGGATCACCTTAAACTAGAAATGAGATGATAATTCTTATACTCCGTATGTGATTATTGATAATATGGTCTACACGAAACTTTTTAAAAGCTATGATCATTTTTGTACGGTGCCAACATATATGATAGTTCATTTTTTATAAAGATTCCTTAGGGCCATCGAAGAAGACACTTAAATTGTGGGAATCATGCTATTTCATTATCAAGTAGTACATATTCTTACCCTTTATTGTAAATTGACTTGCAATTTTTCATACGATCTTTTTTTTCTTTCCCACACACTACAATTATATAATCATAGTTACAATATATAAACTCTACCATATTGTGATCTTTTATTTAAAATAATTGAATATTACATATCATCACAACAAAAGTTAATTTTAAACAAATATAAATCTATTTCAAACTTTTTGAAATAAACACTAACACACATGTTAAAAATTATACTTATAATGTGTGAAATAAGTTGATAATTGTATACATCAAAGTCAAACGACTCTAATTTTATTCTGCAAATCAAATACATAATTATTTGTATTGTATTTGAAAGACACCTGAAATGACTCTAATTTTATTCTGCAAATCAAATACATATTTCATAAACTGAAATGATCACCTTATTAACTATATTTAGTCGCTCACATGTACTAGGATTTTAGCCTCTATATGATAGAGACAAAAACATGAATTTGTAACGCGCTATGCGCGAATGGGATTATGCCCAATGTACTTTATACAAAACAAATATATATTTGTACTCTCCCAGTCCCTCCGTTCTTCTAACTTTGTCTCATTTTACCTTTTTTGTCCGTCCCATTAAGTTTGTCTCATACTATATTTGGTAATATTTGAGTGGTTAAAATTCATTCTTACTTTATTCACACTTTATTAATTCAATATCAACCACACAATTCCACTTTTTCTTAAAAATCACACCACACCTCTTTGTCCCAAACTTAAGGGAACGGATGTATATTTTTTTTTAACTCGTATAGTATATGCAAATGAAAGAAATTATATGGGGCGAGAGTTTAAGAAATATTCAAGTTGTTTAAATATGAACTTAGGACCATAGTTTGTTCTACGGTGGAACTCACAACTTTGATAATGTACTATTTTAGTTTAAACAATGTGTCACATAAAATCATTTGTCTAAGTAAGCAAATCTCTCAAGTCCCATATGAAGAAAACACTAATTTTTGAAATTAATGAATTTAACTTCAACTGGATACGAAATTTAATGGAATTTATTGGAGCCTAAGAACTTTTTTTTAATATAGCACAAATAAAATAAGTGGATATTAATAGTTTCGACTTTTCAGGCTGCTGGATATTAATAGTTTGTTTATTTCTCAAAAATAATATAATTTGTAATATAAAGTTAAGTGGGTGTCTTACTTAGCTTAGAGAATGTTTATTAGTATGCATGTCTTAGCATGGTGTTATATTCTTTTAATGGCAAGCTTTCCTTTAAAAACTAAGACTTAGAGCCCGTTTGGTGACCATATTTTTCGACT